GAGCCTCCTGGAACAAGCTGCCAAGCCAGGGCACTAAGGGAGCCTCCAGGAACAAGCTGCCAAACCAGGGAACTAAGGGAGCCTCCTGGAACAAGCTGTCAAACCAGGGAACTAAGGGAGCCTCCAGGAACAAGCTGCCAAACCAGGGAACTAAGGGAGCCTCCTGGAACAAGCTGTCAAACCAGGGAACTAAGGGAGTCTCCTGGAACAAGCTGCCACACCAGGGAACTAAGGGAGTCTCCTGGAACAAGCTGCCAAACCAGGGAACTAAGGGAGCCTCCTGGAACAAGCTGTCAAACCAGGGAACTAAGGGAGCCTCCTGGAACAAGCTGCCAAACCAGGGAACTAAGGGAGCCTCCTGGAACAAGCTGTCAAACCAGGGAACTAAGGGAGCCTCCTGGAACAAGCTGCCAAGCCAGGGAACTAAGGGAGCCTCCGTTCGGCGGAACAACGTCAGCGCATTCGTCAATAACACTGCGGCCTTAATTGATTTTTTTTATAACCGGTGACGTTTTGGGCAATGGGCCTTCTTCATGATCTTAAGAAGGGCCGTTGCATGAAACGTCACGTATTAGGTTTTTTTTTTTTTTCAGGGCACACACCCAGTGTTCGTTATTGACTAACGTGTTGAATTGTTTTTAAATCCTTTATATTAAGTTCGCTTGCTTGCTTAGGACCGTGCAAATCTTTCGGTCGTTTTTTAACCCACTTCCCGTGATCTAATCGAGCTGACATTTTGCACACAGACTCGTTGTGCGTGACAATTAATTTTCGTGAAAAAAATTCCAAAATTTTACACTGTTTAGGGAAAACAAATTAAATATTTAATTACCAATTGTTTAATGCTGCCAGACAATCATCTGACCCTTAGGTGGCAGCCATCTCAAGCCAGAGGACGAGAGGACTCTAGCCGCCCCGATGCCAAAACAAAGTGAAAAACTTTGTTTTTACAGGTTTACTTGTTATAAATTGTAGACCACCGCGAACCGGACCATTTACCCAAGACACAACACCAATTACACAATGCCTTACACACTACGCGTATAGACTTGCGATCAACGAAACTACAATTGCCATGCCATGTGGCATCTCGGTGACTTACCGTTGTACTCCTGGGGGCACGGGTCTCCGCTTCGGATTGACCTTATGGGGGTCACGCTCCTCCGCAGAGAACCTGGAACACAAGATCACGTGTCACTTGACATCATTTTCCGTTTTGGGGCCTTTCGTTGAACCACCTTCAGTGGCCTTCATTTCAACAATAATACTGGTAGGAACCACCTGGTTCCACCAGCCCACAGGGGATTATTGTGTCCGTCCGTCCGTCTTGCATCCAAAAATGGGAGGGGTGGGGCTGGGTGGAGAGGGGAGGGTGGGGAGGGGCTGAGTGGGAGGGGTGGGGCTGGGTGGGGAGGGGCTGGTCACCCTGTGGTGTCCTTATCAAACTCAACGTTTAACCTACTCACGCCGGCTTGTGCCCACCCTCACAGTCGGGCATATTTGCGGAATACACCACGCCGCCGTTGACCCTGCAGGCCATTAACCGAGCAACCCAACGTTCCTACCAGCTCCCTCCGCAGGATGTGTTCATCACGATTAGCATCATTGTTTACATCACGGCCGCGCTTTTTATATCTCACAGATGTACATTCAAATCGCAGACACTTCATTCCGAAGGCGCTCTACCACGCGTAGACACAGATTGTACGTCACGCGAGCACAGACACCACGATGCGGTCACAGCGGCCAGCAGCGATGGGCACCATCTCCGGATCCCCTTTGTTGCCACTATTAAGATGATCAAATAGATACAGGGTCGCCTCAACTTACGGACGAGTTAGGTTTCAGAGGTACTGCTCGTAAGTCGATTTGTTAGCAAGCTCAACTTTACTCCTGTCGATTCCAAACATGTTGTACGGCTTGTACACATGGGACATGGTTTTAAAAGTTGTGTAATGTCCTTTATGTTCTGCATATGCCACTGGTTCTTCACGTTCTGCAAATGTAGATGCCACTGGTTCTTCACGTTCTGTAAATGCCACTGATTATTCACGTTCTGCTGATGTAGATGCCACTGGTTGTTCACGTTCTGCAGATGTAGATGCCACTGGTTCTTTACGTTCTGCAGATGTAGATGCCACTGGTTCTTCACGTTCTGCAGATGTAGATGCCACTGGTTCTTCACGTTCTGCAGATGTAGATGCCACTGGTTCTTCACGTTCTGTAGATGTAGATGCCACTGGTTCTTCACGTTTTGTGTGTGTAGATGCCACTGGTTCTTCACGTTTTGCAGATGTAGATGCCACTGGTTCTTCAGGTTCTGTAAAGGCCACTGGTTCTGCAGGTTCTGCAGATGCCACTGGTTCTTCACGTTTTGCAGATGTAAATGCCACTGATTCTTCACGTTTTGTAAATGCCACTGGTTCTTCGTGTTCTGCAGATGTAGATGCCACTGGTTCTTCACGTTCTGCAAATGTAGATGCCACTGGTTCTTCACGTTCTGCAGATGTAGATGCCACTGGTTCTTCACGTTCTGTAGATGTAGATGCCACTGGTTCTTCACGTTTTGTGTGTGTAGATGCCACTGGTTCTTCACGTTTTGCAGATGTAGATGCCACTGGTTCTTCAGGTTCTGTAAATGCCACTGGTTCTGCAGGTTCTGCAGATGCCACTGGTTCTTCACGTTTTGCAGATGTAAATGCCACTGATTCTTCACGTTTTGTAAATGCCACTGGTTCGTCGTGTTCTGCAGATGTAGATGCCACTGGTTCTTTACGTTCTGCAGATGTAGATGCCACTGATTTTTCACGTTCCGCAGATATAGATGCCACTGGTTCTTCACGTTCTGTAGATGTAGATGCCACTGGTTCTTCGCGTTTTTTGTGTATGTAGATGCCACTGGTTCTTCACGTTCTGCAGATGTAGATGCCACTGGTTCTTCATGTTCTACAGATGTAGATGCCACTGATTCTTCACGTTCTGCAGATGTAGATGCCACTGGTTCTTCACGTTCTGCTGATGTAGACGCCACTGGTTCTTCACTTTCTGCAGATGTAGAGCCACTGGTTCTTCACTTTCTGCAGATGTAGAGCCACTGGTTCTTCACTTTCTGCAGATGTAGAGCCACTGGTTCTTCACTTTCTGCAGATGTAGATGTCACTGGTTCTTCACTTTCTGCAGATGTAGAGCCACTGGTTCTTCACTTTCTGCAGATGTAGATGTCACTGGTTCTTCACTTTCTGCAGATGTAGAGCCACTGGTTCTTCACTTTCTGCAGATGTAGATGCCACTGATTCTTCACGTTCTACAGATGTAGATGCCACTGGTTCTTCACGTTTTGTAAATGCCACTGGTTCTTCATGTTGTGCAGATGTAGATGCCACTGGTTCTTTACGTTCTGCAGATGTAGATGCCACTGGTTCTTCACGTTCTGCAGATGTAGATGCCACTGGTTCTTCACGTTCTGCAGATGTAGATGCCACCACCGCCATCTATTGCGCGGCGGTTGAACTTACGACTCTTGGTCCGAAAAAATCTAGCAGCCTCCTACCGTTGTTATTGAGCTGATCTGGCCCATGCCTTCCAATCACTCCAGACTAGGTGCCAGCATCATGACCAACTCGGGCATTGAAGTCACCCAACAAGATGACTCTGTCCCGAGTGGCCACTTTAGCCAGCACCTGTGTCAGAAGGTCATAGAAGGCATCTGACACACACTGCGGTGTGTGTACGGAATGCACTGGTTCCTAAAGGTGGGTTGAACTTCTTTCGCACCGTACGTAGCTATTCGTGCTAATCAGAGGTTATATATATTTGTTTAAACATCACCAAACGATATCATCACCATCATCACTACCACCATCACAATCATAATTACAAAGACATCATCACGATCATCATCACGACCATCATCATGATCGCCACCACTAATCCTCATTTACTGCCATCTTCATCATCACCACCACCACAACCATCACCATCACCACTCCCATCATGACCATCATTACCACCACCACCACCACCACCACTCCCATCACCACCACAACCATCGTCACCATCAACAGTACAATGAAATCATCATCACCATAACCATGATCTTTACCACCACCATCATTACCATCACTATTACTCCCATCACCAACACAACCATCATCACCACCACCCCCACCACCATCCTCATTACTCCCACCACCATCATCACCATCATCATTCACCATCATTATTTATAGCACCGCCATCACCACCACCATCACAGCCATCATCATCCATCATCATTATCGATAGCACCACTATTTATTCTCTAAGTGTTTGACTTCAACCCGAGTAGCGGATACAGAGAGATCAAATTAACAGTATTAACAGCAATATAAAGAGTCGTCACGTCACGGCTGGGAGATGGCTTGCCTGGCACGGCTATAAAGGAATACCTGGAGAGAGAGCGGGGAGAGAGAGAGAGACGTGGAGAGAGAAAGGCAGGGAGACGTGGGGAGAGAGAGGGGGAGACGTGGGGAGAGAGGGGGAGACGTGGAGAGTGGCAGGGAGAGGTGGAGAGAGAGGGGGCGACATGGCGAGAGAGACGTGGAGAGAGAGGGGGGGAGTGGCAGGGAGACGTGGAGGGAGAGAGAGAGACGTGGGGAGAGAGACGTGGAGAGGGAGAGAGGGAGTCAGGGAGACGTGGAGAGTGCACGAGGCAGCAGACTTGTGCACTCCGCCCTGACGCGAGGGGGAAGACACGCGGTCTCCATCCCCGCTGCGTCTCCATCCTCGCTGCTCCGCGTCTCTCCCCTCTCTGCCCCCATCTTCACCACTCTCTCCCTCCTGCCTCTAGCCCCACTCTCTCCCTCCTGCCTCTAACCCCACTCTCTCCCTGCTGTCTCTAACCTCACTCTCTCCCCTCTGCTCCGCGTATCTCCCCTCTCTGCCCCCATCTTCACCACTCTCTCCAATTCTCTTCATCTCCCTCTCTGCTGTCTCTAACTCCACTCTCTCCCCTCTGTGCTGTCTCTAACCCCACTCTCTCCCTCCTGCCTCTAACCCCACTCTCTCTGCTGCTGTCTCTAACCCCACTCTCTCCCCTCTCTACCCCCATCTTCACAACTCTCTCCCTCCTGCCTCTAACCCCACTCTCTCTCTCTGCTGCCTCTAACCCCACTCTCTCTCTCCTCTCTACCCCAATCTTCACCACTCTCTCCCTTTCTCTTCATCTCTCTCTGCCGCCTCTAGCCCGATTCTCTCCCCGACGTGGACATTTGTAATCCTCCTCGCGTCACGTGCATCCAGTTCCTGGTCTCGTATCGTCCCACCGCTCACTTTCGCCTCTCTCTCACTCACTCTCTCGTCTCAGTCAAATTCGTGAAGCGTTCTCGTCTCACTCTCACCATCTCGGTCTCTCGCTCCCCCATCTCTCGCCCCCCATCTCACTCCCCGTCTCTCTCCCCTCTCTCCTCTCTCTCCCCCGTCTCTCTCCCCCGTCTCTCTCTCGTCTCACTCCAACCATCTCGGGTTCACTCCACCATCTCACTCCCCCGTCTCTCTCCCCTCTCTCGACCCGTCTCACTCTCTCCCCGTCTCTCACTTGGACATGTTGCTCAAACCGCACGGATTAACTCCACCTCGTGAGACCAGACGCCCCGGGACCATAAAGGGTGAGTCACTACTCACTACTACTAACTCACTAACACTCACCACTCACTAACACTCACTCATTAATACTCACTAACGCTCACTACTCACTAACACTCACTAACACTCACTACTCACTAACACTCACTAACACTAACTCACTAACACTCACTCACTAACACTCACTAACACCACTACTCACCAATAATATCACTACCACTCACTACTCACTACCACTCACTAACACACACAGAGATTCAGAGACTCATATAAACCCATAGAGATCCACAGAGATCCAGAGACTCATATAGACCCATAGATACCCATAGAGACCCACAGAGATCCATAGACCCATAGAGACCCATAGAGACCCATTGAGACCCAGAGACCCATAGAGACACACAGAGAACCATGAGACCCACAGAGATCCAGAGACTCATATGTAACCATAAAGACCCACAATCACGTTTGTTTGTACGTTAAACTACTTTTGCACAATACGTGCTCGCGAACAGCACTTGCCCCAACAGTCCGTTGAGGCTATACGGGCGAGGGGGAGACCCTTTGTATTTGCCTTCGTTGTGTGTGCAGTAATTCTTTGAGTCTAGGTCGACTCAACCTCAAATGAGTACCTGCTGCGGTGTTTAAAACATAATCACCGGGGAGACAAAGGCGGCCGGGCGTGGTGCTGGCCACCCACCCCCTCGTGTGCCGTACCGGCCTTCATAGGTGCTACTCGCTAACAGCACTTGCCCCTACAGTCTGTCAAAGGCTGTACGGGGAGAGTCTTTATATATAGTGCGTGTTTAATGCGTGTGTATGTATATATATATACACGTGTTATGTATATACATAAGCATGAACTTGTATTGTGTGTGCAATATTTATATAGTGTGTGCTACTTCGCGGCCTTCATAGGTGCTACTCGCTAACGGCACTTGCCCCAACAGTCTGTTAAGAGGCTACACGGGGCATCTTTGTCTTTGTAGAATAACGTAAAATTATAGCGCGTTGTAAATGTTTATTTGAATTATTTTTTATTTTATTATGTTTTATTTTTATTATTTTATTACTTCCCTTCTGCATGACTTTACCGAAAAAACCAAGAAGTTGAATTATTTCGTTATTTGCAATTGTTTGAGCCCAATTATAACGTGAATAATCACCTGGTAATTATAGCGTCAATAATAAGACGGGGCATCGATTAGAAACATGATGATGATCACGATCTATTAACGCGATTAAAACAATAATAATAACAATGATTAAGAAGAGTTTTTAAATGCAATGCATTCTCAAGGCGAACACAGTCTTTCTCACCGTGCCATGTCGATGCTTGTGATCGTTTAAACAATAAAACATAAAAAATGTTTGACCATTCTTCACCACCCTGCGGGTTTTGCGGGTTCGTAAAGTTGCCTCGTACGCTACAATCACTCGACACTGATGTTAGCCGTGATCGGGGAATCACAAGGCGCGCGAAGCGAGCCCGTATGGATGGCCCAGCGGTGGAAACTCCACGTTTCTATGGCCGAGCAGGAGGGTGAGGGGAGAGGAGGGTCTATCCGTAGCGCAGCCGCTGTTGACGTTTTCACAAAGTGGTCCAATGCTCGCTTTATCGACCCCCATGATGATGATACGTTTTTTATTCTGTGTTCCGACCACACCACCGCTTGCTACAGAACGGCACTCACGGACTTACACAGATGATGCGTTACGCTACCCACACAGGGCAGTGCACACACACACTACACACACTACAATAGATTATAGACTGCGTGAATTGTCGTTAAGATATGTAAATGTTAATTGCAATACCGTGTGTGTGTGCGTGAACGATTCCCGCTCACGGCCAACACCGGTGACGATTATCTAAACTGGGTCCTGTGCCTCCCCTAGGTCGGCTCAGCCTCAAATGAGTATCTGATGCGGTGTGTAGTAAACATCGCCACTGGAGGGAGACAAAGGCGGCCGGGCGTGGTGCTAGCCACCCACCCCCTCGTGTGCCGTTCCCGCTTTTATAGGCGCTACTCGCTAACAGCACTTGCCCCAACAGTCTGTGAAGGCTATAGGAGGGATCTTTGTCTGTGTATATGTCTTGGTCGGGAGCGGTGGTGCAACGGTTAGCCGGCTTTCGTATGGGCTTGCTACTCGCTAACAGCACTTGCCCCAACAGTCTGCTTAGGCTATAGGGGGGATCTTTGTCTGTGTATAGATCTTGGTCGGGAGCGGTGGTGCAGCGGTTAGCCGGCCTTCGTAGGGTGCTGCTACTCGCTAACAGCACTTGCCCCAACAGTCTATGAAGGCTATAGATGGGATCTTTGTCTGTGTATATGTCTTGGTCGGGAGCGGTGGTGCAGCGGTTAGCCGGCTTTCGTAGGTGCTGCTACTCGCTAACAGCACTTGCCCCAACAGTCTGTGAAGGCTATAGGGGGCATCTTTGTCTGTGTATATGTCTTGGTCGGGAGCGGTGGTGCAGCGGTTAGCCGGCTTTCGTAGGGGCTGCTACTCGCTAACAGCACTTGCCCCAACAGTTGTGAACGCTATAGGGGGGATCTTTGTGTATATGTCTTGGTCGGGAGCGGTGGTGCAGCGGTTAGCCGACTTTCGTAGGGGCTGCTACTCGCTAACAGCACTTGCCCCAACAGTCTGTGAAGGCTACACGGGGTTGAGCTGGCTTACGTTGTGACACTGAAATCTTGTTATGCTGCCACACAGCCGTGATATTAATAGTATAATACTAATCAACACACTTTATCTGGTTTCTAAGGTATTCCAACGGGTTTAAGGTAATTTTTGGGTGCTGATTCCAAATCTGGCATCAGTTTTGTCTATCACATCAGGTTGTTGAGATATCAAATATTGCATTTTCAAAAAAACTGCAGAAGAAAAATATTAAATGAATGTGGATATCTACATACAATGATATTATAAACACACTATCCTAAAAATACAGCACCACATTTTAATACTAAAGCAGTCACTGACTCGCAACAACTTGCAATCATAAGTGACAGAGTTAATTTCGGGTAAAATCAATGAAAATGGGGGTATGCCGATAGCATAAAAATGAGATGTGATAGAGCAAATCTGAGATCAGATTTGGAATCGGCACCCTGAAATTAGTCTAGAACGGCTGCAAAAGTCCAGGCCAGAATTGTTGTTGTTGTTGATTGGATCTTCCCACGTGTTTAAATGTATACGGGCATACGCACAGACTCGATTGTACGAATGGTAAAACAAAAATATACGATCGTGAAATTATGCACGCACGAAATATTAAAATGTAGTTGATCTAAACACGTACTGTGTGTTTGTCGCGGTGGGGAGGAGGGTTGATGCAGTGGTTAGCACACTGAGATACAAATACAACGTTGAGTTTCGATTTGCTGGTCTAAGATATGACTAACATCAGTAGCAACTGATTATATATATGTGTGTACATAACTCGATGTGCGTATGTTCGATCAAATAAAAGTCTGGCTATGACGATATTTGGATTGTGTTACCATGATGCTACATTGACATTGCAGAAATAAAGTTAAATAAGCAATGTACTTGAGATGAATGTTTCTTACGTCAGTTTATGTTAATTGTAATGCCGTACAATGCAACGCAACACAAGATATTCTATTACTGAACGACGAAAACAAAGTTGTCTTAGTTGGCAATACGAGCGTGAAAGTTAACAAGTGTTTCTCGTGATCAACAAAGGCTGGGAACGCATCATCGTAGTACGAATGTCAGAAGTTATTGAACATACGACGTTTCGATGTACCAGCTTCAGGAGCGCACCCACTTCATATGTGGAGGCATTACTGCCGTGTAGATATTGAGATACTCATAGTTTTTTCGGTAAAGTCAGGTAGGTAAAAAAAGTGAAATTAAAATCAATGAAAATAAAATAATAAAAATCACGACGTATGAATCCTCGCAGTCCTTGCAGTCACGAAAGCTTCAAATCTAGAATAATTTATTTAGAGTCATCGGCTTCTGCTTTCAATAAGCTACTTCGTTCAGATATCGTCTGTTAATAACAGCCAGGCCGCTTTTGACAAAGAGCTACACATTTAAGTCGGGGCGTTACTCGCTAAAATAAAATTAGAATCGTGAGTGAGTTAGTTAGTTTAATATATATTTAATTTAATAAAACCCCGTCCAGACCGACATCACCTTTCACAAACCCGCACTCAACAGAGTGGTGAGTATGGTCAAACGACACCAGTAAAATAAAACATTGGAGAGAAATTAGAAAAATATATATATGTATACGTGGTATGTATATATATATAGTATTTAGTGAAATAGCCGTTGCAATATATGTATACAAACACAAAGATCCCCCGTGTAGCCTTAACAGACTGTTGGGGCAAGTGCTGTTAGCGAGTAGCACCTATGAAGGCCGGCACGGCACACGAGGGGGGTGGGTGGCCAGCACCACGCCCGGCCGCCTTTGTCTCCCCGGTGCCGATGTTTACTACACATCGCAACCAGGTACTCATTTGAGGCCGAGTCGACCTAGGGGAGGAGGCCCAGGACCGGTTCAAATAATCGTCACCGGGTGTTGGCCGTGAGCGGGAATCGAACCCGGGTCGCCGGGTTTTGTAGGGCAGCGTGGCGCTAACCGCTGCACCACCGCTCTCCACTACCGCTACACACACGCACTAACGAATTGATAGTACACTCTGCGTGCTGAGCAGTATTCATCTTTCATTCATAGAGACGGATCTAGGGAGGAGGCCCAGGACCGGTACAGAAAATATTTAACCGATGTTGGTGATCCGTGGAGCGTGAATCGAACTCGGGCAAGCCGGAGGAGGTTTCGTAGCTCTGACCACTACTACCACCGCTCCCCACACAGACAGCGGTGGTTGTAGCACGGCTCCTGCACAAAGACAAAGACAAAGACCCCCCCTCCCCCATAGGGCCTCACACAGACTGTCGGGGCAAGTGCGATTTGAGCGAGTGGCACTTTTACGCAGATCGAGCAACGGCGAACAGGGAGGGTTTGATTGGTCAGCAA